CTTCAGTACACGGCAGGTCCCCCTCTGGCTGTGGCTCTCCTGATGCGGGGTCTCCCTCTGAGAATGAGGTTTCCCTCTGGCCGTGGGATGCCCCACCCTGAACTGTGGGCCTCTCATCTACAGCCAGTAGCCTTTCCCAGACCTGGAACCTTGTAATTTACAGCTTTGTCAGTGCCCTTTGTCACAATACGTTACCACTACTTTTTTTTTTTTAAAATATATGTATTTATTTATTTTTGGCTGTGCTGGGTCTTCGCTGCTGCGCGTGGCCTTTCTCTAGTTGCGGCCAGCTTTTTAAATATATGTATGTATTTATTTTTGGCTGTGTTGGGTCTTCGCTGCTGCGCATGGCCTTTCTCTAGTTGCGGCCAGCGGAGGTCACTCTTGGTAGCGGTGCGTGGGCTTCTCATCGTGGTGGCCTCTCTTACTGCGGAGCACAGGCTCTAGGCAGGCGGGCCTCAGTAGTTGTGACACGCGGGCTCAGTAGTTGTGGCTCGTGGGCTCTAGAGCACAGGCTCAGTAGTTGTGGCACACGGGCTTATTTGCTCCACGGCACGTGGGATCCTCCCAGACCAGGGCATGAACCTGCGTCCCCTGCATTGGCAGGCGGACTCTCAACCACTGCGCCACCAGGGAAGCCCTGTTACCACGACTTTCTGCTTGACGCTTTATTTTATTATAGAGGGTGAGGGATTCCCGGGTTTATCCCATCATTAAGTAATGGTTTATAAATAACCCCTCCCAAGTTGGGGAGATTTTGAGGCCCTCCAGATCACAACGTGCAGCTTCTCCCATCAACAGCCCCTGACCCTGGCCAGCTCTTCCCCCTCCCCCCTTCACCTACCCATTCCCACCTGGCCCCCCAGAAAGGACACACTAAATCCACACAGTGACGTGAACGCTTTTCCTTCCCAAAGGGGTCTGCTTAGACACCCAGGAAGTGAGCTTCTTTTTCAGATTTGGAGGTTTCATTGGAAGATGATCAGAGACCCCAATCGGTTAACAAAAGTAGAAGGTTCCAAGGTTACGATCGCAGACGTGGGTATAAACGGAAGATGTCTCAGGTGCTACACGCTTCTGTGCACACAGACCCGACGTGTCCAGCGGTTGGGGGCAGAGGTGGAAAGTCCCCGGCAGCTCAGGTGCGAGGCTCCCGGGCGGGCTGAGACGTCAGGGACCCGTGCCTTCCTATGCTCTGGCTACAGCCGCCCCCCATCTTGTGTGTCACGCTGCCTGACACACAAGTCCCCACAGGAGCGGCCCTCAAGCTGTGGCCGAGGCCGGGGGTCCCTCCCGCAGACAGCGCCACTCTCAGGGCAGGAACTGCTGCGTCTTCCAGGTCCGGACACACCAGACCCGAGTGTGCCCTGCACGGCGGGGTCTGCTCCCTGGGATGGGGGCCGGGCTGCCCTCTCCTCCCGTGCAGTGCTTCACTCACAATTAAGTGAAAACCTGGTTGGAGTCCAGGCTCTGCAATTCATACCCCACGCCTGTTTTTTAGGAAGTGGTTTGGTTTCTGTTTTTTAAGTAACTTTTTCCCCTAAAAAACTAGAGTGGCTCCGAAGCCTCTTGATTTTGGAGTCTGGGGTGGAATCCCGATGGTGACATTTCTGTCTGGGTTGGGGTAGAGGCTGGCCTCCACAGGCACCAGGCCTTGTAGGGCAGGGGGTCTGCAGCGACCCTGGCCCTGGCCGAGGTGGGAGGACACAGTGCCTGGCATTTGGGGTTAAAGGGAATTTGCTGGACCGAGGTCCTCCTGAGCCCAAGCCCCGTCACTCTCACGGTCCCTCGCCAGCTGCCGTGGCCACGGCTGCATCTCCCCTGTCACTCCTCCAAGGTCAGCCACTTGTCTTTCGAAGGACCCCCCGCCCTGCCTGTTCTCACCCTCAGCTTCCTCCAGCCTCAGCCTGGTCCCTGCAGCCTCCTGAGATCAAAGACTCCGTTTCCCAGCATCCTTTGCAGCGGGGCCACGTCCAAGTGCACGTCCTGGGGGGCTGCCCACCCACCTGAAGGACTCCGACCCAGCGGGCCGGGGGCACAGGTCCCAGGGAAGGCCCAGAGCAAGGTGCAGGCCTGCCCCTCCCTAGGCTGTGCCAGCCTCCTTAGCCACCCTTGCGGGCTCCGTGCCGACTGCAGGAGACTGGCCAGGAGTGGGGATCACGGTGAGGACGACCTGGGGTGCCAGGGCCAGCGCCCGTGCAAAGGGAATCGTGGTCCCCGATGTGATGCCCCACGAGGACGCTCCTGCAGGGGCAGGGGCAGGACCCGACCCGCCCGGGGGCGAGGGCTGGGGTTCGCCCACCGGGCCCAGCTCGTGGTGGGCACCCCTTGCAGTGGAGGCATGAAGAGGGCTGTAACCATGCGCGGCTGTCACATGGGACAAAGGAGCGGCGGCCGCTGGGCCACGCCTTTGGGTCTGGACCTCAGCCCGGCTGCAGGCTGGTGCCCAGGTCCCCACCCTCCCTCTCGCCCCCCTGCCCACCATCTCTGCTGTTTCCTAACCCTCCTCGTGTCCCTTCCCCATCTCTCCATCCTTCTCTCTCCTCCTCTTGGGAGCTGTAGTGAGTTGCACAGGGTCCCCCAAACTCACGTCCCAGAACCTCACTTGGAAACAGGGTCTCTGCCGATGTCACTAGTGAAGATGGGGTCACCCTGGGTCGGGTGGCCCTCAATGCAGTGACTGGCGTCCTTGTAAGGGAAGCAGAGCGCCAGAGACTGAGGGCTGTGGGCTGCACCAGGGGCCACCTACAGCCACCAGAAGCTGGAAGAGACACGGAAAGGTCAGGGAAGCAGCCCTGCCGACGACTTCATCTTGGACTCTGGCCCTCCAGACGGAGGAGTGGGGTTCTGTTGTTTAAGCCGCCCAGCCCCTCCCAGGAGCACACAGACTCAAGCCTGGGTGAGTCCCGCCGCCACCCCCCATGGCAGGCAGACCCCGCACAGAGGCCCTGCCTGTCGGGGTCCCTGGCTCTGGGCCCAGCAGCCCTCCCAGGCTGCATTTTAGCCAAATCACAGTGTCCTTTTCTGGGTTCAGGTGAGGTGGACCGGCCCTGGCTCTGCTGAGAGCCCATGGGGCAGTGCATTTGGGACATTTTGAATCACAGGTGCACAGCTGTGTTCTCTGAGAAACGCTCCTTCCTCTAGGCCAGCAGCTTCCTGAGTCCCCCCTCCAGCTGCCTCTCAGAGCACAGTCCGTGCCTTTGTGGGGCCTACCCCTCCCCCCTTCCCGGTCCCGGCCCAGGAAACCCCACTCTGGTGTGACAGGTGCCCCCCTCCCTGGTCAGCCCCCTCCCAGCAGCCTCGGGCACCTGCGACCTTGGGGTCAGGAGGCCCACAGAGCAGGGATGAGCGATGAGTCACTCTCTGGTTCTGGGGCCAGCGGGTGGGGAGGGCCGGGCTCAGGCCACAGGACAGTGTAAGCAGGCAGAGAAGGACCAGCAAGGGGAGGAGGGAGGGCAGCGGTGGAGGGCGGGAGGACCCTGGCCAGTTCCTGGCCTGCACACTCCTTGGTCACTCTCCCAACACCCAGATCGGGGTCTTTGGAGCGTTGCATCCTGGTGTGGCCCTGCGTCTGGCCCTGACACAGGCTGGCTGACCAGGGGCCTGTGCAGCTCCTGGGCCCTGCAGCTTGTCAATGTCGGTCATGCGGGGCCCATCCCCCGCCCCAGGAAATGTGCACTGTACCCTCCCAACAGGGGTGTGCCGGAAGCACCTCCCCAGAGCTCAGGGTGGGCCGCACCTCTGTCCCAGTGGGTCACTGGGACAAGCCCCTGAATTCCTGACACTGAAGACCCCAGCCTCTTGCTTCTCCCTGATGACGGCAGGACCAACACGGATTCAAGGAAACCGTGCCATGTTTACTAGTAACTACAGAGGCTCTCCTCTTGGGACTCCAGAGTCTGGAAGGGGCCACGGGAAGCTGGGGATCCAGGGGGCGGGGCTGCGTCAGGTCTGGAGAACGGACACGTTGGGGCAGGCAGGGGCTGTGGGCCCCTAGGGGGGCAAGACTGCCCCCTTCAGCCCCAGATGCTCTTTGGGCTGTGGGGCGGGGCGTCTGTCACCAAGGACAGAATCACCCCAGATCACGTAAGCTGCCTTCTCGGTGGAAGCGTCCTCTTTCTGAAAAGTCGGGCCTGGAGGGAGATGCGCACAGGATGTGCCTGTCCGGCACTGGCACTGCCTGGAGCCGCCGGCGGGCCCCGCCGCTGACCAGCGGCCAGCGTCACAGCACTGGGGCTGCGCCGGGCAGTGGCAGAGCAGGGTGGCCTTCTCCTGAGGTTCTCCAAAGCCTCGGCTGCCCTCCCCAGGGTGAGGGCTGCGGTCACGGGGCGGGTCCGAACTGCAGGCAGAAGCTGGCTCCGGCCTTCTCACCTGGCAGGAGGGTGAGGCGCTCGCATCACGCAGCTGCTACTTCCCTCTGTCCCCTGCCCTCGAGACGAGCCTCCATCTGCCGGCCTGGCTCCGCCTCCCCATGGGTGTTCACTGTGCAGCTACTGTGAGCAGGGCTCTGGGGGCAGGGGCCACGGGGCCACAAAGACCAGGACTCCAGCTGCTGGGACGGCCAGGTGGCCTCTGCCCCCACGGCAGTGCCAGCACCTCGGACTCTTGCTCCCGGCCGGCCCCTGACCTGGAACGTTCCCTGGGCCTGACCCTGAACCATGAGTCGCCTCTCCTGTGCCCCGTGCAAGGGGGACCGGGACAGCGGCTCGCTGCCCTGCCCTCCCCGGGAAGGTGACACGGGATCCTCACCCTCAGGTCACTGACCTCTGGGTCCCCATCCATGGTGGGACGTCGAGCAGCGTCCCGCTCACCACCCGTTAGAAGCCAGTAGGAACCCCCAAGAGTGACAACCAAAATGCCTCCACGCTAACCAACGTCCCCTGGGGGACGGGGCCACCCAGGTGAGGACGGACGGGGCAGGGGCAGGGTCCCCGACGGCAATCAGGACGGGCTGAGTGCACCGAGCCCGCGCGCACACTGACCAAAGCTGCCAGACACAGCCACGCCAACTGCCTGTATTCTCCAAAACCAGGCTTCCAGAAACGTCAAAATGTGGCACTCGCACACTGTCCACGACACAGCGTGAGGCGCAAGCCACGGCCCCCAGGGTGGACAGGCCCAGGGTGACCTGTGCGAGCGGCGCAGAGCGCACCGCGGCCCCGGGGGCCAGAGGGAGCGGTGAGGGGCCGTTGGGGCCCAGCGGGGAGATGATGACTCAGGGTCCGGAGCCTGCAGGGCGTGGCCTCGACCGCCCGGGAGCCCAGGGCCCAGGCAGAGCCCGCAAGCACACGCGGGGAGAGCCCCGGGCGGCCGCGTCACGGGGCCTGAGCGGGAGGCCGGCCTAGCCGCTTCCCCAAGAAGGAAATCCCTTCTGATAGGAAAGCTGGAAGCACAGTCTCCCTGCGGCTGCCCTGTCCTGCCGGGCGGAGAACGCCGCCCCGACCAGCTCCAGGGGCCTCTCAGGGTCTGCAGGCTGGACCCCGGGCAGGACGGCGGAGAGGGCCCTAGGTGCACCTGTCCTGGTGTCACATCACAGTCACTGGGGACAGGCCTGCGACCACCTGACGCACCCCACCTGCTGCACTCAGGGGCCCCTCGGGCTTCTTGCTCGAGGCGCCGTGAGTCACCTGCTGTCGTTCTTTGAGGAACCACACTTGTCTTCTAATGCTTTCATGCTCAAGTCTGTGTGGACCCCTCACACCTATTTAAAAGCCACGTGAGGGCTCTTGGGTACAAAGACAGACACACACAACGAACACTGTTGGCTGAGGTCCTGCGCTGAGCCGGCCTTGCTGAGTTTGCTGTAAGTCTGGGTCTGGGGAGCACAGGCCTCACGTGCCCGTCGGTGCTGAATGACCACAGGGGCAGGGGCAACAGACCCGTTTCCTGGGGGCGTGCCCACCAGGGTTACCTGGCAGCCACCTTTGCAGAACCTTCTGGAAACAGTGAACTGCTAGATGCAATGCAGGAATCAACATGGAAACCGCCTGGGCAGGGTCAGGGTGTCGGGCTGCCGCCTCCGTGGACTTGGCCACTGCCCCACTCCAGTCACCCGGGGGCCCAGCGGGCTCCGAGGAACCCGGCACGTGAGGTGAAGTCTCCGTCACGACCGTGCAGGTCCCCAGGGGAGGCCCGCGAGGGGCCCTGGATGACAGTGCGGGGCCGACAGGGGCTGCCCAGCAGGATTCGAGGGAACTGCTTCTGCGTTTGAAGAAAGGCGGCCACGCGGCCGGAAGGCCGCCCCCCGTCCACTCACGGCCCCAGTTTGAAGGACTGTGACGGTCACCTGTCCATGCTGGTGTCTTCTGGAGATGTGTGTCCCAGCCCTGCCTGCCTGTCCCCCGCAGCGGAACCCCGGGCCACCACGCCCAGCTGCACCGCCCAGCACAGACCTTCTCCCAAAATTCCACTGTTTTTGTTTTTTCATTGTGTTTTTGAGGAGGGAAACCTAGCTTTTGACCAACAAATGAGGTCGGGTTTTCCTCCCAGGGAGTGTTCTGGAGGGACATGAGTTCCAGGGGTTTGTCTGGTGCCGCCCGCTCAGTGCTTCAGGACGCATCTGCACAGACGCCGGGTCCTCAGGGCGGAGGTGGGGCAGGAGACTGACCGGCAGAGCCAGCACGTGGCCCCTGAACCTGGAGCGAACACGGCCTAGCGCAGGTCATCCCGGAAGAGAGTGGCCTCAGGAGCCCGTCCAGTCCAGGATGCTGAGAAGCGCCGCAGGCTCTCGGGGGCTGGTGGCGGAAAGGAGCCGTCACAACCCTTTCCTTGTTCTGTGTTTGGCAGCGAAGGTGGGCAGCCCACCTACTTGGGGGCACACGTAACCCCGAGGAGTTGCCGACCTTTTGAAAGGGCTGCCAGGATCAGGTCAGTGCCCGCCACGTGCTCCCTGGGGTCAGCATGGCCCTTCCAGGGGGCGCCACAAGGCCAGGTGGCCCAGTGTCCGTGCAGCCCCCAATACGGGTGCCGATGGTGTCCTCTGTCCAGCCTGCCCGGGTCAATTCTCGAGCTGCCACCCGACGTCCCCACTGGTGGCACGTCCTGGGGGAGCTCTCATCACACGTGCTCTTGGAAGGAAAGAGGAGAGGGGCGTGAGCACAGAGCTGGCTCATTCTCTCTGCAAGCAGAGACTCATCTTCTCAGGAACCAGGACGGTGAAAACAGGGTTGAAAACGCCTGCAGACGGGCGCTGCATCGGACTCTCGGGTCAGCAGGCCCGGGTTCTTTAGCGAGCTGTGTCCCGCATCGTCTGAAAGCGGCCTCGGAAGGGAATCTGCTGCAGCCCCAGGCAGCCGCGTGCCCCGGAATCACCTGGGTGAACAGGTGGGCGGCCACTGCCGTGTGGGTCGTGCTCACCTCGGGCCCACCCTCCCCTGACGACCCTTCTCACAGGTGGAGAAACGGGGCTCAGGGCATGGTCGTTGGCCTCAGGCGTGGAGCCCGCTGGCCTGACCACCAAGGCCTGGCAGCCCGAGGCACCTGCCAGTAGGAAACCGAAACTGAAGGCCCTGCGTGTGGCTACTTTCCCAAACTGGGGCGGGAATCACTCTGACCTTCGCTCTGGGACCGTGAGGTGCCGAACAAAGGGTCTGGACTCACTGGAGAGGCCCCGCCCCCGAGGGGTGGGGCTGAGACGAGGGAGAACAGGAGGACGAGCCGGGCAGCTGGGGAGGGGCAGCGGGGCTGTGGTCCCAGGCTCTCTGCTGACATGGACGCGCGGCTGTACATTTGGAAAATCCCAGCACAGTGTCAGCGAGAGGACAGGCTTACACGCCAAGGAAGGCCGGGGGACAGGCCTTCGCTTGGGATTTCACCGTCTCTGAAACTGGAAACGCCTATTTCCTGGTCATCGAGTAGCACCCGTGCTGAAAGGCGGGCACTGAGAGAGTGGAGCGCCCAGCTCGCCCGAGCCCGTGGACCCACGCTTCCTCCACGGGTCTCCTTCCCTCCTGGCAAACTGACCCGTGAGCTCCAGCTCCGGCCTCGCAGCCTGGGCGCCTGTTGGGACAAACCAGAAACACTCAGGGCGGGCTGTGAGGGGGCCTCTCTGAAGACCCCAGGGCCCCGCACTCAGCAGCGCCCCACTCCACGCTCCTCTGGCTTCCTGCTCGGGTGAGGGCTCCCCAGGCCGCCCTCATTTCCAGGACGAGACTTTGTAAGAGGTCAGGGTGGGAAACGCTTCAAGGTGCTCAAGGGCCTTCAGCAGCCTGGCTGGGTCGGCAGTGGGGCCGTGGGCAGTATTTCTGGGCAGACGGCACTGGCAACCAAGTGGCAGCTCCAGGCGGCACGTAGCAACCCCTCCCGTCGGGCAGAGCTCCCACTGTGCGCAGGCTCCGTAATCCAGCCGCGCTCCCTTCCACACCCTCCCAGGAGTCCAGGAGGAGCCCGACCTGGTTAATAAGACCTTGGGGATGCCCGCTGACCTCCACCACCAGGCCGACCGGGGGAGACTGTGCTGGCCCCTCCCCAAGGGGTTCCCCCGAGGCCCCAGTCCTCAGGCCCTCTTGTGACACCTGGGTGGTCCCAGGGTCCACATTCTAGGCTCTTCTGCTCCCCACTGTGAGTTCTGCTTCTTCGTTTTACTCAGTCAAAACCCAGACTTTCTGGATCTGTCTTCGAGCTTGGCCAGAACTGGACAGACGGCCTTGAGGGACTGAAGGCCACTCGGCTTCCACAGACACACCACTCGGAGTCTGCCGTCCCCCCCAGACCCAGAGACCGGACTTCCCTTCTGGGGCGCAGCTGTGTCAGGATCTCGGAGGCGGAGGTCACACCAGGGGCACTGGGGCTGCTATCCTCACACACGTGAGCACTATTAAAGCATGCTTCCCGTGAGAGCGGCACCACGCAGAGCTTGGAAACATCCTGGGAAAGGCCAGCCCTCACCCCAACAAAGTAAGTGTGCGCTGTCTGCAGCGCGGGCTTCTCTGATACCTGCGTAGCTTCTGTAGGGACATCTCCGCCTGCACAGCCAGCCCGTGGCCACGGCCACGGCCACGGCCACGACTAGCACAGCAAGGACGCTGAGAACCGGCCGGTTCACCGCATCTTGGGTGTCGTCCACTGGGTCCTCTGTGATGCTGTCCTTGGTTCCCGTGAACATTTCTGCAGGAAAGGAAAGTAACCCAGGACTTACAGGGTCAGGAGGAAAAGGGGGTTTCTTCATCCTGAAGGAGCGAGTCCTAAGGGAAGTACTGATCCACCAGACTTCCCCAGAGGTGTTTTGTGATTTTTAAGCTATAAAGCTGATGGAGAGAAGGGTTTCCCCCTTCAGGTGACCCTTCGTCTCTTTCTGGGCTGTCCTTCCTCCTCACCCTACCTGCGTGACCTGTAATCCCAGCCCTTCCTAAAGGTCCACACCTGGGAATGGGTGTGGTGGGAAGCACAGTCTTCCTGGCTTTTTTTTTTTTGCGGGGGTGGGGGGGTACGCGGGCCTCTCCCTGCTGTGGCCTCTCCCGTTGTGGAGCACAGGCTCCGGACGCGCAGGCTCAGCGGCCACGGCTCACGGGCCCAGCCGCTCCGCGGCATGTGGGATCCTCCCGGACCGGGGCACGAACCTGCGTCCCCTGCATCGGCAGGCGGACTCTCAACCACTGCGCCACCAGGGAAGCCCTTCCTGGCTTTTTAAAGTAAACTTAATTTAATTAATTCTTTCTAGCTTAATTGCTGGCTTTAAAAAAAATGATGGTGAAATTCACATAACATAAAATTAATCATTTTAAAAGGAACAATTCAGTGGCATCTAGTACGTTCACAAGGTCACGCAGCCAAAACCATTATCTAATTCCAGAACTTTCCACCACCACAAAAGGAAACCCCCTTCCCATCAGTGGTCACTTCCCATCCTCTCTCCCAGCCCCTGGCAAACTCTAATCTACCTTCTGTCTGTTTGGATTTACCTATACGGGCCATTTCGTACAAATGGAATCATACACTATGCGGCCTTCTGTGTCTGGCTTCTCTCACTGAGCGTCACCTGCACGGTTCATCCACATTGCAGCGTGGTCAGTGCCTCATTCCTTTTCGTGGCTGAGTAATGCTCCACTGTGTGGATGGACGCATCCCTTCATCCATCCGTGGACACTTGGGTTGCTCCCACCTTTTGGCTATTGTGAATGAGCTGCTGTGAACACTTATGTACAAGTATTTGTTTGATTCTCGTTTCCAGCGCTCTGGGGCGCACACCTAGGGGTGGAATTGCTGGGTCACAGGCTAAGTTTTTTTTTTTTAGGCTACGGACATGCAGGCTCAGTGGCCGTGGCTCACGGGCCCAGCTGCTCCGCGGCATGTGGGATCTTCCCGGACCAGGGCACGAACCCGCGTCCCCTGATCGGCAGGCGGACTCCCGACCACTGCGCCACCAGGGAAGCCCCACAGGCTAAGTTTTAAGGAACTAGCAGATTGCTCTTCACGGCGGCTGCACCATTTCCCGTCCCACTGGCAGTGCACGAGGGGGCCAATCCTCCTGTCCCAGTGCCCAACCATTGTGCCCTTCCCTGGGCAGCTTTTTACAAGTGTCCCGTGTTTGCCGAAACCCGAAGGAGCCATGAGCCAGACAGTGGCTAGGCCTCCCACGCACCTTAGAACCATCTGGAAGCTTTTCAACATGTCCTGTTGCCTGGACAGCCCAGAAGTGCTGATTCAGAGGGTCTGGGCACAGGGCGGGGTGATGGGGGTTGACAGGCTTCCCAGTTGTCCCCCAGAGCAGCTGGGCTGAGACTACGGCCCCAGGAGACCCTCCCATTCCCCTTCCCCTGCACCCGGCTGCCCTGCTGGGACGCAGAGGCCAGCGGAGGCCTCTGGTGCAGCCAGAAGACCGTGACCGCTGAGTCCCAGGGCTGCGCCTGCATTCCAGGAAGGCGAGTGCCCGGGCGCGGGGGCTCCCGGCAGCTGGGCAGCAGGCAGGCCCCCGACACCCCCATCCTCCAGCTCTCCTGCCCCTCCTTCCCTGGCGTCTCAACGCTGCTGACAGGGACACACAGGCTGAGAGAGCCTGTGGCTTCTACGAAGGAGTCACCCGCCTGCACCCTTCCACAGGGGGCCTGGGACGGCAGCCAGGCCCAGCTGGACCCCCTGGTGGAGGAGGGGTTCTGGTTTCCCAGGGGGCACACGTCTGAAGAGCTGGGGTGGTGGCTGTGCAGGAGGGGCTTCAATCCTGATGCTGCCGCCGCCTTACCTGCAGCTTCTGAAGCGTTACATGACCTTTCGGAGACTCAGTCCCTCATCTGTGAAACGGGTCCCCAAAACTGACGCCCCCCCCCACCAGGTGCATGAGGATTAAGTGCCCCGAGCACCTGGCCGGCCCCTGCCCTCCGCCGCACGGTGATGTCTGTCCCCCCTCGCCCTGCCACCACCTCTGAAGCCGCTGCTGAGTCACCTCATAGGGGCTTGTCTCCCACCTGAGAGGATCCCCCAAGTCGCCCCTGGCCCCAGCCTTGGGTCGGGGTCAGTGCGCAGACCCCGGGACCTTACCCGTCTGGCCGCTGGTCAGGTTCTGGTGAAGAAGCACGTTCTCAATGCAGCAGCCCACGTCGACGGGGGGGCTCCGCCCAATCCGCAGGACGCTGACCACGTTGTACAGGCCCCGCGCGTTTAGGGACACGGTGCTGTTCTGCAGGGCGTCGTCCAGCAGGCTGTTGTCTGTCTTGTTGATCCAGTACACTTTGGGCCACGGGTAGCCATTCGTGGACGTGCACGTGAAGACCAGCTCCTCGTCCTGGGATGGGCCGCTGACCACCGGCATGCTGTAGTTTGCTGCAGGGGAGGGAACGGGCTGAGGGCTGCCAGGTTCCGAAGGTCACAGAAGCGGGGGGGACACGGTGCCACGGGCCAGGGTAGCAGGGAGGCAGCCGTCGCGCCCCAGACGCCGGAGCAGGGCCGGGACCAAGGCTGTGGTCTGGGCAGCAGCACAGGCCCTGTTCTACCAGTCACGCCCCCCAACCCACCAGTAGGGGCGCTATGAGCCGGGCGGGCAGTGACCGGCACCCACGTCCCACCCCAAGGAGGTTGGCCTCCTTTGAGTCTAGTGACACGGTCAGCTGACAAGTCACCCGTCTCTCCACCGAACGGTGCCCCGAGCCACTTGGTGGAGGGCTTTAATTTTCTTCCTAAACTCTGATCTCATTTAGTGCCTTATACCGCTCCCTCCTAATTTCATGAAAACATCTCGTTTGGGTTGAGTTGGAGAGTTTCGAGGCAAGGACAGCAAGCTTAGGAGCTCCTGTGAGGAGGGAGGCACCTCGGCTACTGGAAAACTGTCTTATGAGCCGAACGATATTTCCACCACCTAAGCCGCACACCTGGTTTAAACAGAACCCCGCTAGGGGGATCTGGATTTCCTCTAAGGGAAGACACGGGTGAATGAGCCGCAGAAAACAGGTCTCACTGACACTTCTTCCGGGCCGTAAGGCTGGGCTGGAATCAACTCGGCAGCTCCGCCGTCTTACCTGCCACGTTTAGCGTGACCGTGACTTCCAAAATCTTTTCTAATTCTAAGGATTTCCGAAACACCAGGCAGTTGAACTTCTGCTCGTCCTGGGGAGTGACATTGTGCAGGTGCAGAGAGAAGTCGCCCTGCTTCATGCCGTCCAGGGACAGCCGGGCCCGGTCTTTGTAGTGGTTGTTAACGTGGCCGGCAGAGCTGTTTCCCGAGAGGTAGTAAGTCACCACAGAGTTGGTGTTCTGTTTGCCCGGCACGCTGATTTGCCAGTAAACGTAAAGGTCATTTAAATCGAAGGTGTTTCCTTTGGGGTAAATGCAGCTGAGCCAGACGTCACTGCCCACCATCGCTCTGATTGCTTCTTCTTGAATCTCTGCAAACATCCAAAGAGAACAGAATTCATCTTCCGCGCTTGACGCGTAACTTTGAACTCACCCTTTGGAGGGACGGGGGAGCTTCTGGGTTGCAAGACTCAAACCCCAATTCTGACTCATTTCAGTAGGAAAGGAATGTATTAGTAATAAGATGCACATAGGAAAGCAACAATAGTTTAAAAATTCGGACACGGGCGGTAAGCTGCTCTGCTGTATCACCAGGGTCGGTTTCCAGTCATCATGCCGGGAGCCAGCCAGGACTCCTGCCTCTTTTTACTACTTCTTGGGAGTTTACAATGAATTCAGAATAAAAAGATGTTTTTAAAAAACTCAGACATTTGAAAAGAAAACATCAGCTTCTCAACAACATCATTATAGGAGTGTTTGCAACTCCATCAGAGAAGGCCCGGCGAGGTTCTGTGGTCTGTTGCAACGGCTCAAATGCCAGCAGGGAAAGTGGCCGTGTGCCCTGACCCGCCGCCCTGTGGGCTGGAAGGCCAGGCAAGGCCTCAGTCTCCGCTGCGCTGCCATATCCCCGTTCTGCACTCTTCTGGAAGCTGGTGGCTTTGGGGAGCAAAGGGGTCACGGGAAACAGGAAGCCCAGCTCCCAGCTCCTCTGGAAAGCGGAGGTTCTGAAACACTTGGGGGGAACTGCGCTCTGCCTGTCCCAAACACGACACAAAAGGAGAACCACGGGGTCTGGCCGAGCCCTCCCCTTTGTGGCTCTCAATGCCACACATTACCCTGGGCTTGGGGGCCCCGTTTTCTCACAAGGGCCCCTGGAAAAGCAAGCAGGGCTGTGGGGAGGACCCCACTGACACCTGTACCCCGCGGTCCTCACTGCTCAGAACTGAAGGGCTTGGAAGGCTCCAGCAAGAGCACCGTCTGCACTTACCAGCTCGCAGGCCACAGAGTAGCAGCAGCAGTAGTCCAGGGCTGGGAAAAAACAACCAGAAAAGGGTGAGTCCCGCTCTCCCCAGTGGGGTCAGGAGCCGGTCACACCCACCATCCCAGTGGGGAATACACCGCAGCCAGGCCATCAGCCCAGGCCACCCAGGCAGCCAGGGATTCAAGGAGCGGACGCAGCACCAACTCCTCCCTGCCCAGCAGGCAAGCCCCAAGGGGCTGGCAGCCCCTGCACGGGACCAGCTCCCACGTTAATAAAACGCCCCTCAAAGCAATTATGAGGGTGTGATAAAGGGTATCAACAGGAATCATCAGCCCCCTGGTGGCCTGGCTTTGCACGGATGGAGTCTAAGAAATTGTATAAAATCGGATAAAAACCCACTTTCGGGGTATTTGAAGTTTGAGAGACAGAGAAGATGTAAGATGCCCCTCCCCCCGCCAGGGTCGGGTGAGCCCCAGGACGACCTTCTGAAGGAACGTGATCTGAAACCAGATCTGCTGGCTCCACTGGAGCTGGTGCACAGCTCAGCCCTGGGGGCCGGCACACCCCTCTCATGACTCCCAGGCTCCTGGCGCGTTCAGCCTGGGAGCCTCTGTACCCCGCATGCCTCAGCGGTGGCCCCTGCCTCACCTGTCACCACTCTGCCCGTGCCCCAGCCCACTCCTCGGTGGGTCAGAGAGGAGAAAGCACAGACGGGGCCCCCTGCTCAGGGGTGTGGGTGGCTGGTGGCTGTGACATGGAAATATTTTTATTTTCCGTTCTTGAGGGAATAGTCTTTCCCTGTATTTCCAACTGGGGAGACTGGGTGGTGGGACCCTGGGGTGGGTGGGTTTTTGGGCTGTGCGTGTGGGACACCTGGGGATGGGGTACCTCACCAGCTCATCAAGGGAAACACAGGCTGCCGATGCTAAGACTGCCCTGAAGGGGGTATTTTGGCAGAAAGTTGTTGCCTCCCCCTCAGCTGGCAAGAGACCAGGAGTGACCAGCTGGCCGGCACCTTCCCCAGTTTGCCTTTGCTGATGCAGGAGGGGGAAAACCCAGGCGTGCGGGGGGCACGTCACCAGTTGGTGGGCACCAGACGGCATTCGAGGTAAATAAGAGCGACCTTGGCACAGCAAACTCACACCCTTCTTTCCTCTGGGCCACCGCCGGGGGCAGGGAGGGGAGGGGGGGGAAGTGAGGGTGGGTCGCTATGTCTTCTCTCCCAGCTTTTCCTCTTTCCCTCCCTCGGCAGGGACCCCGCCCCGGGTACACCCGCGTACTGCCAGCGTCCCGCGCCGCCGGGAGGACAACGCCGGCAGGTAACCACGCCTCCCGCGGCCCCGCGCGGTGCCGCCCCGCTCCCGGAGCCCGAGGCCTCCGCTGTGCCGCCAGGCTCGGTTCCCCGCGCCCAGAGGGCGCGTCCGCGCACACGCTCACCTCCTCGGCCGCATGGTGGGGGCGGAGACCCCGGGCCACGGGGGAACTCGGACGGCGGGAGATCTCGGAGCACTAGAGACCTCGGGCCGCGGAAGCCGTCGGGCCGCGGGAGAGCTCCGAGCACGAGCACAAGCGACCTCGGGTCGCGGGAGCCCTCGGAGCGCCCAGCACTCGCTGCGCTCCCGCCGCGCCTCGGAGGCTCTGGGCGCTGAGCTGGTCGCCGGCTCAGCGCCCTCCCGATCCGGCCCCGCCCCTGGTCCCACCCCCGGCCCGGTCCCTCCCACGGCCTTGGCCACGGGCAGGCGCGAGGGAACGGAAGCTTGGACAGTCACTCCCGAAAGTTCAGCCCTTCCCAGGAGAGGGCGTAAGTCGGGCCCCGCGGGTTGTAGGATGGGGCTCCAGGTCCACCGGGCCTTGAGCCTGGGCGCAGTAGGTACCCCGACAAGTCGGCGGCAGGGAAGGTCCGGTGGAGGAGGGCGGCCGAGCGCGGTGCTGGAGGGCTTGCCCAGCTGGAGGGGCCGTGGGAGGCTCAGTGCTGCCCCGGAGTCGCGCAGAACGTCCGCGCCCCCAAGCGCCCCGGCTCCGCCTGCGCTTGTCCCCCGCCCCAGCGGCCTGAGAGCCGGCGGGGCGCGGCGGGCTGAGAGTCAGGCTCCCGCCCTTCCTCCCGCTCTCGGGACGCAGCCAGGACCTCCAGCGCTTGGTGAAGTCAGAGCTCCAGGACCGTTCAGGGACGAATGAATGAGTGGCAGGAAGGAGGGAGGGAAGGCAGGCCGGCAGGCTCCACCTTCCAGTCCAGCCCTAGTCTCCCCTGAGCCAGCGTTGCTGCCGCGTCCTTTGTCAGTCCTGGGCCACCTGCCGCGGCATATTTGCCTATTAAAGGCTCTGAAAAGCTCACCGCGTGGAAACCAGTTCGTCTTTGCTCCTCCAAGCGTGTGGGACTTCTCGCTCTTTTTTTTTTTTTTTCTGGTCTGGGAAAGGCGGCGCGGAGCCCCGGAGCTGGGGGCAAACGCCCCGTTTCCTTCTTGCCCAGCCCACCCGTTCCACGAGGCCTCCTCTCTTCAGGCCCAGCTGCGTCCTCCTCCCGCACCGGCCAGGTGGGTGCCGGCCAGGCGAGTGGGTGGAGCCGTGAGGCAAGAGGCCGTCCAGCCCCCGGAAGGGCCTGGCCCCCAGGCACCCACCTCAGGCCTGGAGGCTCCTGTCGGGTGGAGGCGCGAGGGGTGTGTCCTGCGGCCCAGGCTGATGGGGGTGCTGAGACCAGCCTTTGGGGCGCAGGACAGGCAGGGTGTAAAGTGAGGGCAGAGCCCACGGGGCTCCCCTGGCCCCAGCCACCTGCACGCTGTCATTCTTATAACAAAGATTTAGTGCCCACCTACCACACGCGGCCTATGTGAGCGCTGAAGAGAAAAGCTTAAAATAAGAGAATCTGCGCCTGGTGGAAGTTAACATTCCCGTGGCGACAAGAGCAAACAAGACAAGGAAGCAGGGCTTCCCTGGTGGCGCAGCGGTCGGGAGTCCGCCTGCCGACGCGGGGGACGCGGGTTCGTGCCCCGGTCCGGGAAGATCCCACATGCCGCGGAGCGGCTGCGCCCGTGAGCCATGGCCGCTGCGCCTGCGCGTCCGGAGCCTGTGCTCCGCAACGGGAGGGGCCACAGCAGGGAGAGGCCCATGTGCCGCAAAAAAAAAAAAAAAAGACAAGGAAGCAAAAGAGCTGGGCTGGGAGATGGGGATGCTGCCGAGGAGGGGGATGGGGGCTGCAGGTGGCCAGGGAGGGAGGTGGGCCTGCGGTCCAAGCGCAGGGACTTCACCCCTCCCAGGTCAGGCTGCAGGTTGGGGCGGGGGGTTTACAGAGGCCAAGCAGGGTCTATCCTCCCTTTGGGGGCAGGGGGAGGAGAAGGGACAGGGGTCCCGGCCAGGACTCCCGTTCAAGTGTCCAGTGAGGGCACAGACAGCCTGAACTTGGGTGGGGGGCATCAGGAAGGGGTTGAAAGATGGGGGCCAGGAGGAAAAGTAAGATCTGGCCAGGAGAGCCGGGCGTGGGTATAAATCAGACCAGAGATGGGATTTCAGGACGCTGCCCATCCCCAGAGCCAGAAAACCAATGCCGCGTCTAGAACAGATGCAGCGGGGACCTTGGTGGGGGGGGGCGGTCACCGTGTCAGGCCCAGCAGGGCCGGAGGGGGCACGATATCGGTGGCCTTAGATCCCCTCCCGCGGGGTTGGCAGCAGCTGGCAGAGGAGGACCGACCCAGCATCACCCACGGGTGAGGAGAAAGGGACAAGGGACCGGCTGGCTCCGACACCTCCCGCCTTCCTGGGTCCAGTCCCGCCCCCACCAAGACCCCCCCGCCGACCCGCAGTGCTGGGGAGTGGAAGGGGTGGACCCCACACACAACCTCGGGTCCTGGGGGACGGAGAGGCCCCCTCGGTTAAAACCTCCCTCGCAGTGTCGGCTCACGTGGAGCGGGGAAGGAAAGGTGCCCAGTCGGCGTCCCGGGCCGCAGCCCTACCGTGCAGCGGGGGCACAGCCCCAGGGCAGCGGGGCAGGGAGCGCGGCGGGCTTCCGGAGGCGAACGCCGCGGCGCGGCCGGCTGCTGTGGGGAAGGGGTCAGGCTTGGCTTCCGGGGCAGCCCTCCTCTCCGGACCCCAGAGGGCCAAGTGCTGCTGCCAGGCCCACCCAAGAGTGGGCACCCTGGGCCCAAGGAGCGCGCTGCCTGTTGAGCGGGCAGGCAAGCGGTAGGGAGTGCAGTGGGGCTGGAAGGGGACGTCCGAGCAGGACGGGGCGGGAGCGGGGGAGGGACACCCCGGGAGCGGGCAGAAGACCAGCCCCAGGCCCCTGAGACCGTAACCCCTCTGTGCCTGTGTTTCCGCATTTGCGAAGTGGCGGTAGCGACAACGTCTTCCTCGTAACGCAGCTAAGTAGGTTCGTGGTTCCTGTGAGTGAGCACACGTAAGGCGTCCGCACCGATGCTGGCACGTGGCTTATAGACAGAGGATTTCAAGACGGATGAGCACAGAGGACGGCCCTCGGGAGACTTCCTGCGGGTGAGCTGAGGTTTTCCTCCCTTGCCTTCACCCGTGACCGTTTCTCAGGCAGCGAGGTGGGTGTGTGTGTTGGGGGTGCCGGAGAGAGAAGCCCACCCGGAAGGCTATCTGGGCCAACCTGGGAACCAAGCCGGAGTTGCTGCTGTGCTGAAGGCCCAAGGCTCTGGGTGCAGACACAGAAGCAAGACCCCATTACCTCAAACTCGGGGCTCAGAACAACAGAAATACACCGTCTCAAGTTCTGGAGGTGGGATGCCTGAACCAGCGCTTCTCCGGGGGGCTGGAGGTGAGGGTCCTTCCCGACTCTTCCGCCCCGGGTGCCCCAGGCGCCCGCCGTCTTGCAGCTGCGTCTCTGCCCCCACGGCAATGGCCTTCTCTATATGGGGTCAGGTCTCCTCTGCCACCCCTGGCGAGGGCCTTGGGGCTCACACGTGATCCAGCACAGTCTCCCCATTTCCATCTCATCACAGCAGCCAAGCCCTCTTTTGCCCATAAGGTGACATTCACAGGTTCTGGGATTTGGGACAGGAACATCTTTCTGGGGTCATTATTCAGATGACCACGGGGGTCACAAGGGGCCTCTGTGGGTGGGATTAGATACTTAGAGGCAGAATCTCAAGGTGTTATAAGGCTGCTTTGAGGGGCTCTGGGCCCCGCCTGGGAGCAGGCTGGCACAGAGCTGACGCCGGCAGACCGGGCCCCCCGGCGCCGGCTGCCTTGGGTGGAAGCAGCTGTTCCCAGCCCTGTCCCGTCAACCGCCGACACGAGTGCCCGTCTCTGTGGTCGGTTTGGGCCCAGGGCTTGGCCTCCCTGGAGGGTCTCATCTGTGCTCAGATGCTCCTGTCCCCACTGGCCCTCCGTGTTTTCTGGGGCTGCCATGACCTTGGTTTCATTACAGACCTTTAGCCCTTGGACAGGAGACCCGTGACATCACAGCCCAGTATTGTCCCCCTGCTAGCCTGGAGAGAAGGTCTTCATGAAGATGAAGATGTTTCTATCGGCCAGGGCTCTGTGTGTGTGTGTGGGTGTGGGTGTGTGTGTGTGAGAGACGGAGAGAGAGAGAGAGAGAGAGAGACAGGAAGAGAGACAGTTTGTTCAAGGAATTGGCTCACGTAATTATGGAGGCCTGATAAACCCAAAACCTTCGGGGTGCGCTGGCCGGCTGGAGGCCCGGGAAGAGCCGTGCTCAGAGAGAATTCCTTCTCGCTCAGGGCAGATTAGGCCTTTGAAGGCTCGGGACTGTCTCAGTCCGACGCGGCCACTATAATGAAATTCCACACACTAGGCAGCTTGTAAACAACAGAAACGTCCTGCTCGAAGTTCTGGAGGCTGGAAGTGGCAGGTCAGGTACTGGCAGGGTCGGGTGAGGGCCCCTTGCACGGTCACACGCTTCTCGTGTGTCCACACGTCGGCAGGGGTGAGGGAGCTCGCTGGGGCCTCTTTTGTAAGGGCACTAATCCCAGTTTGGAGTCACCTCTCAAAGGCCCAACCTCCTAATACGATCACCTTGGAGCTTAGCTTAGGTTAGCATCAACCGATGAGTTCAGACACAGCACCCACCCGCACTGTGGAGGGTAACCTGCTTTACTCAAAGCCCCCTGATTTAAGTATCAATGTGATCCAAAACGCCCTTCACAGAAACCTCTAGGATAATGTTTGAACAAATGTCTGGGCACCGCGGCCCGGCCAAGTCAACACATAAAATTAACCATCACAATTTCTATTCTATTTCAAGATACTTTTAAAACACCCTTCAGGGCTTCCCTGGTGGCGCAGTGGTTGGGAGTCTGCCTGCCGATGCAGGGGACGCGGGTTTGTGCCCCGGTCCGGGAGGATCCCACGTGCCGTGGAGCGGCTGGGCCCGTGAGCCGTGGCCGCTGAGCCTGCGCGTCCGGAGCCTGTGCTCCAGAACGGGAGAGGCCACAGCAGTGAGAGGCCCGCGTACCACAAAAAAAAAAAAAAACAAAAAAAAAACACCACCCTTCAGAAAGTCCAATTGTAGCCCCACCTTTCTTCCACAAACCACTGTCGGCACCAGCAGTGGTCCCAAGCTTCCCCAGGTCACAGTGTAATGCCCAGGACAAGCAGAATCTATGTGCCTGTCTGAGTCTGGGTCCCTTTGGGGAGTTTTCTGGTTAACCTGGAAAGGCCCCTTTGGGATTCATCACATGTGATTTGAAGCCGGCTCTGTCAATGCTCCAATGGTCCTGTCCTCACCAGAGCCCGGGGCAAACTGGGACCCCGCCTTCTGCAAGCAAGTCCGTCTGGGTTAAGGAGGACCAAAGGTTGCATGCTTCACGAGTGGACCTGGCCTTGGCCTCCATGCCCTCTGTTCAGCCTGTCCTACTTGGCTGACTGAGTGGATATCTACACTTTGCAAAGTTTGGGATGTTTCCTGTGGCTCTGATCAGGGTGGGGGATTTTAACCATCAAGGCGCATGGCAGCCGTGATGGCATCGGCTACGGGTACAAATGGCACAGGTGCAGCGCGCGGCTATAACCCTGTGTCCTGCTCGTCTTTCTACATACTTTCCTGTGTCCTACAGAATAAAATAAAGGCGGTGCTTATACACAGAAACACCAAAAGATGACCCACAACTACCATAATAAATATATTTTAACTTCCCAACTGGCACAAAGAAACATTTCCAGCAGCCCAACGTGCCCGGTCATGTCAGGGTCTCGTCCACCGTTAGACCCGAGGCTTCGCCCCCTCCCACCAAAGGTCATGGTGGGAGCGGGGCCCTGTCTCTCCAGACCCAAAGGGATGATGGGCCTGTAGCAATCTCGGGAAATCCAAAGTTAAGCAAATAAAATAATAATTTGAAAAGGAAAAAAGAAACAATGTAAGGAAAGTTGTCTTTGTTCTAGGAAAAGTCTCTCTCTTTTTTTTTTTTTTTTCACGGTGCAATGACTCATTTATAAAGAGGAAGTGAGTTCTGTTGAAAAATACTTGAAATATTCTCTCAGGGGGAGAAAACAGTTCTTCACCAGCGTGGCTGGGCCCTGGGTGGGGGCCTTTGCTCTCTGCCTGTCCCGAGCCAGCAGGGATAATTCCTCCTGGGGACCCAGAGCTGAATGCCTGCTGAGAAGGAGAGCGGGGGCTTGGTACCCGCCCAAGGGCTCCTGGGAGAAAGCTGGGGGGTGCCCGTCTCGCTAGGTTACCCGAGGTCTCTGAGAGAAAGACCCCACCTGCCTTCTGTGAGGTTTTCACCGCGTGGTGGGATGACAAGCATGTCGTGAGCAGTAGGGGACGATGGCTCCCACACCCCTCCTGGGGAGGGGCCTGGCACCCGAGACGGGTGCACAGAGGGTCCCCAAGGGCAGCCCACTGGCCCAGCTCAGCAGGTCTCACTTTCAGGGTGGAGAGGCCACTGCGGAGCAGACCCACAGAGAAGGGAGGGCGGGACTCGTGGGCAAGGCTGGTCAAGCGGTGTTCCCTGGCCCTTCCAAGGGTTCTGCTGCACCCGAGCTGAGCACGGCTGCCTGTGGGCCCCGGGCTGCCTGTGCCGGAGGGCCATGCAGCAGGGACCCCGCTCGTCACGTGATGCAACCCTGGGGACTCAAGTCTCGTGGACGTGGCGCCTGGCACCTTGCTGGACTCGGGGGACATTTCTCGGCTCAGTTTTTGCGGGGGGTGAAGGCCACGGACAAGGTGCCAGAAACACACAGCGCCCCTCTTGGTGCTCTCCCTGCCCACCTCCTTGGGGCAGCTCCACTGTCCAAGGGAGGCCGGTGCTGTCTGAAGGCAGCTGCCCATCATCCCAGCAAAACGGTCCCTACTTCCAGTGAGGGGGTCTCCCTCACGACTGAGACAGTGTGAGCTGAAGGGAAGCACCTCCTGCGTTCCTGGGGCCCAGGCCCCGTCACCCACCTCCAGGGGAGAGAAGTGGGGAGACGCTGTGGAGGAGGTGGGGTGACCCTCAGGTCTTCCGAAGAGATAATGTTTCGGAACCTGCTCCACCTGGCTCCCCACGTCCCCGCCACAGTCCTGGCTGGGGGCCGGGTGGGCGCCACAGCGTGAGCGGGGCGAAAGCTGGCACTGGGAGGTGGTGAAAAGAAGTTTCCAGGCACTGCCGGGGGAGGACCCATGACTTACTGTCCTGGAAGGTGCAGGCAACGTTGGTCCAACACAAGGACGAAGGCCAGATGCACGGGGCTTGGGGGAGGAGACGGCCTTCTCCTCAGGGCTCGGGGGGCTGTGTGTGGCGGGGACAGTGGAGGAGGGCAGGGTCCTGGCAGCAGAAAGGCTGCCTGAAGCGGCGGGGTGGCCGGACCAGGGCTGTGGGTTTGCAGGGCTGGCGAGGGGACGTGCGTGAGAATCGCCAGTCCTGAGAATGTTCCAGGAGCACCGAAGGCCGTGTGTGCGTGTGTGTGCCCGTCTGTGTGTGCATGAATGCGTGTGTGTGCACGTGTGTGTGTGCGTGTCTGTGTGTGTGTGCAAGCTCAAGGCAGGCCTGTTTGAGGGGCTGAAAGAAGCTCAGTGTGGCCCAAACGCACACAGTGGGGCGCCCGTGAGGATGTGAGCTTGTGTGAGTGTGTGCTCTGTGTGTGACGAGTGCGAGCCTGTGAGACAGCAGGTGTGTGCTTGTGAGCGTGGGGCTGTGCAGGGTGAGGCACGTGCCTGGAGCCTGGGCAGCGGGGACCAGGACCGGGACACATGTGCCGCGTGGCTCCCGTCCGGGGGTTCGTCCGGAGGTGAGACGCTCAGAGGCACCAGTGCAGAAGCGGGGAGAAGGTCCCCGAAGTGGAAAGGGGGCACCGCTGACCTTGAGCTTGTCCAGAACTTGTGGGGCGGCCCCTGACCTGGGCACAGAGGCTGCCCCGGGCACGGCTCTGTGTAGAAAACCCTCTGCTCTCTTGCACTCTCAGACTTGTTTCCCTGGTGAACCCGAAGCAGCCTGTGTCCCTCCGAGTTTCCAGGGACACAAGTGCACAGGAAATACCTCTTCACGGCGGGGACGTTGCTCCACACGTGCACGGCGTTCCGGATGGTACAGCCACGGACGTCCTGGATGGTCACCGGCTCAGTGTGAGGGGTAAAAACGCCAACTATGAACTGGGAGACCCACAGTGGGCACGACACCTGAGCCCAGAACAGTGTCCCGGGCCTCCCAGACCGATTATGTCTCCCAGTCGACATTGCTTACATGTCACATCTTTTTCCTTATAAATCACCTTATAAGGAAAAAAGCCGAGATATTATTTTAGACCTTTTAACTGGTAGGTTATTTTCACTCCCACAGGTCACCTGGCCCAGGGACTCCCCGCCTGCTGCATGGCAGAGGTGGATTCCCGTGAAGGTCAAAGAAGTCCTTGCTCTTTGAGCCATGAGATATGTCATGTCAGGCAGATAAGAGGCTCTGCGGGCAGACAGCAGTGTTTCCTCAAGGGCCGATGCTTCACGATGACCACAGGAGCCAAGGGCGTGGCCGGATCCTGGGGCCGCAGTCTCCGTAGAAAGCACCGGAAGGTCAGGGAAGGAGGGGTTGGGGGGGAGTCGTGGCAGGAGGGAGGTCATCCGGTCCCCGACACCCAACCAGGTGGCCTGAACTTCACCTCTCCGGACTTGGAGTGGTGGGGCGTGCAGAAAGGCCCACGTGGACCATTCCCAAGTCTGACCATCCCTGGACACATCAGTCTCCTCCCGTGTCCAGACACCTGGCCGGGAGGAGAGCTCATACGTGGATGTACCATCGGGCGCAGGGCAGAAAGAGACGGTGCTGTATTGGGCACGTCTAGCTATTGCCTGCCATCGGCAGGAATGTGGTTCCACAGCAAGATGGGAGCAGTGACAGGACACGTGGGAAGGTCTCTTTTTTGCCTGCTTCTGATCTGGGACCAATTCCGATCTACCAAATGTGCTCACAAGACGATCAAGAGTCAGCATCCTTGCTGTCCTCCGAGTCTGCAGACGGCTGGCGCCCAGGTTGGGAGCCTGTGCTTTTGGTCTGGACTCGCGGTTACTGTTCATAGATTGTTCAGTAAACAGGTCACCTTACAAGTCTCATGACCGCTGATATGTGGTGACATGTCAGTATTTAAAAATTCCGGGCTTCCCAAAAAGGAGGAATAACCACGGATGCGGAAGAAAGTAGGAGAATCGTGAGGCCACTTTGCTCGACCCTGTGAAAATGATGTTTAAACTTTAATTAAATGGGTGACACTCCGGGAAAACATAACTTACCAAATTGATCTCAGAAAAGACTGAAAATCTTAACAGATGAGTTCCCACAGAAGAGTTGCTCCCATTTTAAAACAACGGCAACAACAACCAGTCCCGGCAATTGCACAGGAAAAGTCTGTCGAATTTTAAAATATTTTTATGAAGCAAACTTAACACGGACATCCCAACCCAATAAAAATAGCACAAAACAAGACAGCCTCACACACTCACCTGTCTCATGCTTGTCAAAGCAGCAAATCCTACGGGAAATGCAGTTCACTGGATTTCAGCAATCTGTCAGAACAGCCACTCCCCACGACCAAGTGGGTATTTTCCAGGAATGCAAAGACAGATCACTATTATGAAATCTATTAGTATATTATATCCTATTAATAGATCTAAAGAAGGAACTTAATTCTCTCCATAGACGTAAAAAAGAACATTTGACAGAATCCAACACTTATTCTTGATAGAATGGCTCAAAAAATAGAAATCAAGGGAAACTTCTGGAAATTTCCTTCACATAGTGAAATGTATCAACCTCAACCTCAAAGCCAGCATCAGCTTAGTAGAGAAACACTGGACACATGTACGTGCAACTCAGGACCCAAGCAGGCATGTCCCATCACTACTGTGGTTCAACGTGAGACAAGAGGTACAAAATTAGAAAGAAAAAACTATCATGACCTGCAGACAATCTGCTCAGATACCCAGAGAGTCTAAGTGAACCAACTATAAACCACTTTCATCCACAAAGTCATCCAAGAAGGCAGCAGAAGCTAACTTAATGTAGAGACGAGATCAATAGTTTCTTGAATCAAACCAGTAAGAAAGATACAAAACCAGTAAGATACAAAATGGAAAATCCCAACTGCATAGGAGGGAAGAAGACAGGACATTTGGGAGCCAAGGCGAGGGAACGCAGAGAGCTGGGGACACCCCGTGGGCAGGTGAGGGGAGCGGCAGCTCGGCCGCCGGGGGGGTGGGGGTCTGCGCGGACACCCTCCCGGGGCAGTGGCAGCATCCCTGAAAACAGCACATGGACCCCGCGGTCTCACTTCCGGAATCCACCCCGCAGATGTCCCCACTCATGCATTGTTTGTAAGAGCAAGAGATTGGAAACAGCCCAACTCTCTGTTCCCGGGAACGGGTTAAAGGCATTTTTCACATCCATACAAAATAAAACTGCAGAAAACAAAACACATACGTCAAGACAAAGAGTGAGAAAGGTACTTTTCCAACAGAACGATTTCCAAGGTCACGGTTAAGTGAAAAAAGCCCGACGCAGGGCAGCGGGGCGGGCAGACGTGTAGGTTTGTGAAGACGTCCTGGAGGTGGCCAAGGACCGAAGACAAGTGCAGTGGGGACAGCAGGGGTGGGGAAGCCAGGAGACTTTCACTGCGGGGACCCCGGGCCTGGCCTGGGGCTGCCCTGTGTGTGGGTCTGCTGGGAGGGCCGGGCCAGGTCAGCCCTGGACAAACCGGTCACTGAGTCCAAAAGTGACGGCTCTAATGGTCAGGACTTGGGCCTGAGGACAGAAACAGCAAGGCTGTCGGTGCCCCAGGATGGGTGTGAGTGTGTGTGTGTGTAACTGACCGGTGCACTGCGCATTGCGGTGTGCGAGTGCGATGCGTATGCACGTGTGAGTGTGCGTGCGCCCAGGTGGGGTGGCGGGGAGGAGAAGGACGTGACCCGAGGTGGCAGGATCCTAAATCCAGGGCAGTGCAAAGGCGCTGTTGGGACCTCAGTGGTGAGACGGCCCTCGTGGGCCCTGTGAACTCTGAAAACCCAGGCCTCGGAACCGGGACCTAAGCGGTGCCCCCCAGGGGCCCCAAGTGTCCCTCGGGGAGGCCGCGGCCCGCACCCACCTCCAGAAAGCGAGTGGCCACGACGCGGTCGTCCTGGGTCAGCACCAGGTTGTCCACGAACATCCAGAAGAAGGGCTGGGGGCTGCCTGGCCGCGGCCTCGCGAACCGCAGGATGCGGTGGAACTGGAACAGGTACCACGCTGGGGTGGGGAGCAATCGGGTGGGTCTGGGCTCTGCCTGGAGGGACCCGGGACGCAAGGGCGGGGCTCTGGTGGGGCGGGGCCGCCTGCTCCCGCAGCTGCAGCCTCCAGGGCACAGGTGCGGGAGGCTGGGCGACACCCCACAGGGACACACAGCCCTGCGGACAGGGTGGGAGGGGCGCCAGGCCGCCCTGGGGTGACGGACCCACTCGCTGTCCTGGCTGCGGTGATGGCTCACAGGGCACTCACTTCAAAACCCACCACGCTGTACTCACTGAATATGGACAATTGACCTATGTCTCTGATACCCCAGTAAAGCTGACTGTTTAAGAATGCAGACGGTTTGCAATTCCTGCCCTCCCTGAGGAGAGCTGGGGTGCGTAGGAGGGCGTGGCGGACAAGAGGCTCTGGAGTCTGAGCAGATGGCCAGGCCTCTTACCTGGGGGCTGGCTGCAGGCGTGGCCCCGCGGGGGCGTAGAGCTGTAGGCGAGGTCGAAGGGGCCCCATGCTTCCACCTGCGGGAGAGCGCAGCTCAGGAGGGCAGAGAGCTCCTCCGGGGCCGGGCACCTTTCCTCTCTGACCGTGTGATTCAGGCTGACCTTCATGGAAGGGGTCGGGGGGCGGTGAAACCCACCGGGTCAGACCCGCCCCTTGGTTCCGGGGGTGCAAGGAGCCCTGCTTTCTCTATCGTCTCAGGGAGGCCGGCCCTCAGCAGAGCCCTGGGAACCCGAGTGCGGTGATTCCTTTGTGCCGGGCACAGACCCTCCAGGGAGAGTGACACGGGGCCCCCAAGGATTCATGCGGATTCTGTGTGTTGCTGGGAAATACAGGTGGAAGCCCTGATGGGTCACTGGGCAGCAGGTAGCCTTCCCTGGCGAGCGTGAGCGCCCCTGCTGCACCTCCCCCGCCCCCCCGCCCTGTCCAGGCCCCCACAATCCCCCCTGAACTGAGACGCGGAGGATTCCCTTCCCCCATCAGGGGCCCAGGTGACAGAGGGACCCAGTTAGAGACTCTAGCCCGTGTCACTCTTCTTGAAAAACAATTGAAAGACCCAAATACTGGATCCCTGGCTTTCTGACAGCAGCCCGTCCAGAGCAGACGTGGCTTCCCTGGACCCTCCCCAAGTCACTTAACAGAAGCCGACACCCGACGTTAGCCTCCGGCCTCACGTGCCCCCGGCCTCACGTGCCCCCGGCCTCACGTGCCTCTGGCCTCACGTGCCCCCGGCCTCACGTGCCCCTGGCCTCACGCGCCTTGTCACAGTCAGCTCTGACCCTGACCCAGGTGCGCTCCTGGTGGCTTCAGCTCCAGTGAAGCCTGCTGACCAGCGCAAGTACAGCAGGGGGTCTGGACAGGGAAGGGGCAAGGGGGCTAGAGGAGGTGAGCGTGGGCTGGGGGCCCGGGACCCGCATCCCAACACTCTACACGAAGGTGGCTGCTGAAATGACCCCAGGAAAGGTTGGGAAGGAAGCAAGGTCTTAGAGGGAACACCCCGCTGTCCCCGAGGACCCGCCAGTGTGCACGTGAAATCCCCCGAAACCCGCGGCCAGGTGTGGCTGTGCAGACGTGGAAGCCGGACGCCCCCACCTCTAGGGTGGGCTGCACGGTGGGAAAGCCCATGTTACAGGCCTCGTGAAAAAGGAGTGAAGCCAGGGCTGGTCGTTGGGGAACTGGGTGATGACGGCACACGTGAGCCACTGTCACCCCTGAGACGCGAAAGCTCATTGCGGGAGGGGGTGTCTAGACACTTGGCCGCGCCAGCGAGAGCCCCCCCACGTCGGATCTGTTCCTGCAGCTCTGCTACTTGGGGAGGGCTCGTGTCACTCTCCAGTCCCGCCTTAACCGTCCTGCCCTGGCAGGGAGGACCCCGCCCTGGGGGGCCTGGGACGAGTGTGTGGGTGGGCACAGGCTCCAGAAATGCTTCCTGGTGGGACGTCCGAAGGGGCCGGAGGGGCAAGAAGAGAGCTGTCCTGGGCTTCGGGGCAGGGCAGACCCCAGGGGGACGGAGGAGGGGGGCGTCTCCAGTCTCAGCCAGGGAGGAGGGCTGGCCCCTGGGACACGGCCCCCCGGCCAGACGGGGAGCAGAGCTGAGAGGCCCTGCCGGCACCCGGGGGGTGAACTGGGTCCCCCCACATTGGCTGCTTCCTTGTTGCCACCTTCTGTGGCCAGTGTTCCGGCCCCTCTGACCCCGTGCCCGTGGTTGTCGGGCTCTGGGGATGACGGGCTTTAATTCTCCTGTGAGAGGCTGTGTGGGCGAGCGGGTGATGGACCAGATCTTCCTTCCCTGAGGCCACAGAGGTGGCGTCCCACCCCTTTCCCATCCGCGGCGGCTCGCGGCCCAGCTGCTGAGTCATTTTTAGGCCCTTCCTCCAAGGCCGCTGTCCAGGACAGCAGGAAATAGCCTTCGAGGGAGCCAGACGTTTCATGACAGCGCTCGGAGAGGGTTTTCAAACAATCCGTGGTGGTTGTGTTCAAGACGCAGCACTTTATTTTAGGAGGGGGAGACCCCCTCCCTAGGCGGCACCATCACAGGTGGTGGGATAGGCCCCTTGGGTTTCAACAAACCGGGCGGGAGCTTTGGCCAACGGTTCTCCTCTGGGCGGTGGGCAGTGGGGGGCTACGGACATGCCTTTCTCAGCTCTCCCGCCGTGGGGGGCCGACACCCCCCCAGGTGGGCCCTGCTGGGGACAGAGTATCCGGGCTGCACCTCCCCCACCCCGTCCAGTCCCCCTCCCCCGACGCACCCCCTCCTCCCCGTCTGCTCTCACTCCTTGGTGCCTGGAGGAGCACAGCAGTACTTACGTCCCTCCTCACTACGTTGGTGACATCATCCAAATGCTTCAGTTTCCCCGGCTCAGAACCATGTTCCAAAAAGCCCAAACTCATCAGCTCTGGGGGGGGAGCAAAGGGGACACACAGGGCCGACGCTGGTTTTTGACCCCATGTGGAACTAAAGGGCTGCCGTTAGCAAGCAGACTTTATCTTTTCAACCGCATTACGGGGGGAGCCAGCAAACTGCACTGAGAACTGATTTCAGAAAGTCAAGCAATTTGTTGCACAGCCAGGCCCTCCTGGCTGCAGCGCCACTCTCTGGGTTAGGAATCCACTGGGTGGTGGCCGTCCACGCTGATGTCACCTGCTCAGGCCGTGTGACACGGCTGGGTTGCAGGGGGAGTCTGCAGCCTGGGCATGGGACAACTAGCCCAGAAAGAATCTTAACAAATTGAACTAAGGATGCATCGTCCGGGCAGGGACTTGAAGGCTGGGCGGCCACGGGCTTCCTTCAGGGGAAAGCCGTGCCCACTCTGTGCGTCTCAGCCCCCAGGTCCCTGACACGGGTGTGCATGAGGCCGCTGTGACCGCACTACACAAGACACGGGGCGTAGCGCCAGAAGTGGGGTGGACGCCCCCCCCATTCCATTTGGCCAGAGACAAGGAGTATTTTCACGGATTCTTCTTACAGCTGCCGGGCCCAGGAGAACCCATAGGATTTCCAAAGGCACCAGCAGGTGGGGTCTGCTCAGGGTACAGAGGGGCAGGACACCCAGGAAGGCTGGAATGCAGCACGTGACCAGTCTGCGCAACCTGGGAGATTCGGGTAGAGAGGGAGGGTGCAGGGAGCCCTGCGAGGGGTGGGGCGGCCCTATACGGCGGCCAGGTGTGTGGAGGTGTCTGAGGTTTGGTGGCCGTGGGCAGGGCTGTCTAGGCAGAGAGTCTGGGCCCCATGGCCCCCACTACAGCATTTCACACCCACCGTCTTGCTACGTGAACTTTCTTTCCAAGGCGTCCCTGCTGAAGGAAGGAGCCCCAGGTGCTCCTCAACCCTCCCCTCCTGAAAATGACCCTCAGGTCCCCAGCCTCAAACATGTAGCAAGTGCATCATAGGGGACATTTCGACCCCACCCACCGCCCACTCCCCTGGTCCCCCGTGGGTCTCGCTCCAGGCAGACCCATCTTCCATTGTCAGTCCTCAGACATCACTGCACCCACCTTTCTTGATGTCCCCAAAAAGGGACAGCACCCGGATGGGCTCTCTCTTCCACACGGGCACAGTTTTGTACATCTCAAGGGGACTCTCCTATTTATTTTTTTTTAAAAAAAGGATGTTCTGATGACTGCTTGGTTGTACAGCCCATGAGTGACAAGAAAAATTCTGGCTCTGCAGAGGCTTTTCCCCTGATGAATGAGGACACACCGGCCGAGGCGGCTGGCCCCACCCTGACTGCACTGACCCCCAGGCCTCCGTGAGACCCCACCCATCGCCCAGGACGAGGGCTTCTGTCCTCCACACCAAGTCCCCAGCCTGGGCCATCTCTAGCAAAGGAAAGGCAGGTGCGAGGGCATTTTCCTGACTGTGAAGGAAGATAATTCTATCCTGAGAGAAACCACTTCCCTTGTATTTCTTGGGAAGAGTCTCAGACCTGGGGGATTCTGAATACCCACGGCCATGGGATTCACCCAACCCCTCTCCGTCCCCTCTGTGGGCTCTGAATGTGGGCCTCAAGCCACACAGCACCCCTGAAGGCTACCAGTGTCAGGCATCTCCCAGGCCAGGCCTGAACCAGCCCCTGAGTCCTGCCATGAAGGAGCCAGGAAGGCCTAGGGTAACACCCGCCCACCCCGCAGGGCACCCGGCAGCAGAGACCCGATGGATCTATTCATGAAACAAGCACCCCAGCGCCACCTGACCCCCAGGAGGTTGCACTTGGGAGTGCCTGCCTCCCACGAACTGTGGATGGGATTCCAGGCCTAGGCAGGGGCACTGCCTGGGGGAGGGGGGTCCCAGGAGACCCTGAGCCCCAGGGGGAAGGGTCTGCCCAGGGCTGGAGCAGGTGGGCACCCAACGCAGGCAGCGAGTGAAGCGGCGGGTGAGTGTAAGGGAGGGCAGGCTGCCCGGAGGAGGAGGCGTGGGGAGGTGAGAAGGGCGGGGCGGAGGGACACTTGCGGACACACGTCCTGGTCCCCCGCGGCAGCCGCAGGAGCAGTGCCTCCTTCCCGCTGTGCTCCGGCTCTAGTGGCAGTAATACCAGCTGTGGGCATCAACCCCTTCTCCCTTCAATGAGAAACTCGTCCTGCAGTCTGCCAGCAAGGGGCCTTTCTGCACCGAGAGGGAGCGTTTCTGCCGCTCACCGGACCGCGAGAAGGCTCTACGGGGAGTGCAGCCACCTTGCTCCGAAAAGCACCATAAAGGTACCTGCTCCCATCTGGTTTCAGGGAGCGCTGGGTGGTGGGGCTACCATGTGCCCCCGTGGTGGCCCAGCAATGCCGTGTGTGGCGACTCCCCAGAACCAGCCTGGCCATGCGCCACAGGGGAGAGAGCCCGAGACCCCAGGCCGCCACGGTGAGCACCCAGCCCTCCCCATCACGTGGCCACCCTCCCTCTGTGCGTCTCTGTCTCCTTCCTTCCTGTTAGATGACACCAATCATTGCATTTCATGTCACCCTCATCCAGGATGACCTTACCTTAAGATTCTTAACTAAATTACGTCTGCAGAGACCCCATTTCCAAAATAGGCCATGTTCACAGGTAACAGAGGTTAGGACGTGGATGTGTCTTTGGGGGACAGAGCTCAACCCACCATGATGAGCCCAAACTCCTGCCTAGCTCCCGGATCCCGACCTTGATCCTGGAGAGGACCCACGTCTGTGCCAGCTGTCTGGGCTGGACCAGGAGAGCCTGCCCGGGCGTTTGCTCCCACTTGCTGGACCTAGAGGCACACCTCTGCTGGGCCCCTCTCCTACGTCCTACAAATGCCTCATTCCCAGGCTTGGAAGAAACAAAACTGCCATGCGAAAGTGATTTGTAGAGGGACTTCCCTGGTGGCACAGTGGTTAGGAATCTGCCCGCCAATGCAGGGAGCACGGGTTCGAGCCCCGGTCTGGGAAGATCCCACGTGCTGCGGAGCAAATAAGCCCGTGCGCCACAACTACTGAGCCTGCGCTCTAGAGCCCGCGAGCCACAACTACTGAACCCCATGTGCCACAACTACCGAAGCCCATGCGCCTAGAGCCTGTGCTCCGCAACAAGAGAAGCCACCACAATGAGAAGCCCACGCACCGCAACGAAGACCCAACGCAGCCAAAAATCAATTAATTAATTTAAAAAAAAGAAAAAAGTTTAAAAAAATAAAGTGACTTGTAGAAGACAGAGCATCTAGCAGACAAAGAGGGGATGAGAAAAGCGCACTTGCTTAAAAGCCCTTAACATCGTTGTGTAAGAGGGAGCGGACGGGCGTTTTGCAGCCCATCACCAGAGGAAAGGAGCCAAGTCCGAGCACCCGCTCCCGCTCCCGCTGTGTCCTCACCGCCTCCCAGTCGGTCGCAGAAGGCCTTCAGCCACCCCCGCCACTTCTTCCTCCTCTGCAGCAGCCCGCTGCGGGGGAAGGACAGGCACAGGAAGCAGACCCAGTTGCTCATGGCCTGCACTTTCCCCGAGGTCCCAGGGCCCACCAGGCTGTCGATGCACTCGAAACAGTAGCACCTGGAGTCAAACAGAGAACCACAGCGACAGGCCTGCCACTGCCTTGGCCGCCAGGTGAAACCCCGGTGGTCCCGCAGGCAGAGGCGAGCCTGCTCCTTGCTCCGGAGTGAGGGGTGGAGGCCACACGCGGGCTCAGGGGAGAAGATGGAGCTGGCAGGGGCTGCAGCCCGGGGAAGGGGGACGGGTCCCTCTTGGGGACCCAGAGCGCCGGGAACCCAGCCATCTGCAGAGGACAGCAGGGGGTCTGTGGGTAGTGACAGATTTCACAGACTCCCCTAAGCCAGCTGGCTCCCTCCTCCAAACTCCAGATCCTGAGAAACCAGGCAAGATCTCTGCAGGAGCGCCCACTGCGGGGGCGGGGCGGGGCTGCAGACTTGGGGCGATGCAGCAGTAAATACCGGGACGCCCGGAACGACTGAGGGGAGGGGACCACGGGTAACGCTTGGGCTGTTAGGTAGCAGGGAATGACTACGCCTCGCCTGACACCAGCTGCGTGGGTTTCCTGTCGCTGCCCTACTTAACCACGGAGGGAGCAGCTATGTCTTGGCGATAAAAACAGAAAGAAAAATCATGAGCACAGATCTTCTGACACACCCTTCCCCTAGGTCACGGCTATTCACCAAATGAAACGTTTGAGCTGGAAATAGAAAGCTTTGGAGAAAGTCATACTTTTGGGAGGTGAACCCCTTTGGACTCTGGGATGCGGAGCTGAGAAGAATGGGAGTTTCCCAGGCTTGTGGGCAGTGGTCCTTCAGCCCTTGCCCGGACCCCCCGGGCCCCTGGCCTCACCGCGTGCAGTCGGGGCTCTTGCAGATGAGCAGCGTCTCTCCCGCACAGCAAATGGAGCAGTAGGACAGGTACCCGTCCTCGTCGTACAAGAAGAGGCACTCCAGGAACTTGTCCTTGGCGAGGGCAAAGCCAGGCTGCCTCCTCTGTTCCAAGGCCTCCACAAAGCCGCCCCATGGCTCCCTGCTTACCTTGCACGGAGTGCACATCCCTCCCTCAAACAGAGGGTGCTGCGTGTGCACCCGGAAACTTCCGCAGCAGATACACATGTCTGAGGCGAAAACCCACAGGGCAACGTGTCACAATGCCGTCAGGCACAGCAACAGACTCAGGAACGAGTTTAACAATAACAAAAAAAAGGCAAGACCTGTACACTGAAAACCACAAACTAGTCCTCAAAGAAATTAATGATCAAACAGATGGGAGGGCATCCCATGTTCATAGATCAGAAGACTAAACAGTGTTAATATGGAGAGCTTCCCCAAATCTGGTTTTGAGAAACCAGATCCTTCTCAAAATCCCAGCTGGCCTTTTCCTTTCTTTCTTTCCTTTTTTTTAGAAATTGCTAAGATGATCCTAAAATTCATATGTAAATGCAGGGGATCCAGAATGGGCAAACTCAAAGAGAAAGAAAGTAGATTTGTGGTTGCCTAGGGTTGAAAGAGGGGAGGCAGAGGGATGAGGAATGAGGACGGACTGTTGATGGGTACCAGTTTCTTTTGCGGATGACGAAAATGCCCTAAAATTAGACTGTAGTGATGGGTACACATATCTGTGATTACGCTAAAAGACGCTGAAGTGTACGCTTCAAATGAAGTGTCAGGGTCCTTGGGGCAGGTGGAGGGGATACGAGCTGGGCGCCAGCGGCATACACTGCCCTCTTCCACGGACGGACAATGAGTGAGGCTGCAAGTCTTTCCTCAGCTGGCTGATGTCCCTTCACCTGGGCAGGTGTGCGATGCTCACCTTCTATGTCTCGCTGGTTAACCTTGACTTCATATGCAATAAGATCTGGAAAAGAAAATAAGTAACCCCTTCCTCTGCCTGTCTCCTAATTTAGACACCTCAAGAGATGAGCCTCACAAGTCCTTGGTGAAGGACTTCTGACGTCACAGGAACCAGAGGATCAGCCCCCCCCGCCCTGTCCCCTCTGCCTTTCATGGCGACATGTTAAACATCTGAGCTGGTGGGGTGGGGTGGGGTGGGGGAGGCTTTGAGTGGGGCCCTTCTGCTCCTGAGTGACGTGGGAGCATTCCAGAAGCCGGGAACCCTAGACTCTGCCCAGGCCTGGGGTCAGCACCCCAAGTGATGGAGGCAGTACCTGCATGAGCCCTCACCTCTGCGGAGCCTGGGTGACGGTGGGGATGACTGCTCGCTGGAGCGCGGGATGATGTCCGTGCTGTGCTCTGCTTCCCGGTCCAGGACTGCAGCAGTGGCCGTGGGGACACCAAACCAGGAGACAGGACGCACACCAGACAGGGAGAAAGTGTCCCATCAGCCTCCGTCTTGGAGCCCCAGACCCCCAGCACGGGGACTGAGCAGACCACCCAGCCCGGCCCCTACCCACCTCCCACCATGACACTCACCCCTCTCGACCCCCAGGGTCAAGGGGCAGGAAGACCAGTGGGGAGCGCCAACCTCGAGAGGGGGCTCGGTGGGCGCAGCAGGTGGGCCGCTTCTCCCCACAAATGGGAGGGCAGGGGGCCTCGAAGGGCCCAGGGTCCACCACGGCCCCTCCCTCCTTCTGTGTCCTCCCTAGCTGTGCACCCCTCAGCCACCCCCATGCTCCTGCCGCCCCACTGTCCCCCAGACCCCAGCCTGTGGTCTCTCCCACCCGACCCTCAAAGACAAGGGGTCTATGGAGAGGGCGAAAGGGCCTCACTGATTTCACAGGGCTGGGGACACGGCTCCCCTTCCAGCAGCGGGGCTGGGTCAGGGTCCGAGCCATCCAGGGTTTCCAGGCTCAGGGTTCCCGGGGAGGAGAGGGCCATGGAACCTGGGAAGGGGCCTTCCAGAAACCAGCAGGAACCGGGGGTGCTGGGCCCGCTGGGCGAAGGGGGTGCGAAGGTGACGTGACGTGCGGGGGCGGGGGAGTGGGGAGGGGCGGGGGAGCCCTCAGTGCCACTGGGTGTTGGCTGGAAGGGTGGGGGGGCTCGCCCCTGTTGGGTGGGGTTAGGGAGTCTGGGGAGGGGGGAGGGTGAGGGGGGGCTCAGTAATGGGGCGCTGAGTGTGGGGTGGGGGGGTGGGGGGCTTAGGGGCGGGGCTGTGGTCTTGAGGGAGGGGCAGGAGGGCAGGTGTGGGCAGAGGGAGGTCAGTGGGCTTAGGGAGATCAAGGGTGGGGGTGAAGGTGCTGGGTGAGGGTTGGGGGGAGTTTACTGCGGTGGGAGGGGCCAAGGGGCAGTGTGGGGGAGGGGCTCAGCTGGGGCCTGGAGGGGGCATAACTCCCCCACCTCTGCTGGGGTGTGGGCTGGGCATCCTGACTTTCCTGGAAAAAGCTCAGCGTGAGGCGGGGGGGTCACTTTGCAGTGAGAAACCTGACAAACACAGCTCTGCCAGGTGGTCAAGGTCGACGTCAAGAGTGGAGTGGACAGTACTGCCCTGGAGGCACTGAGATGAGGATGGCCTGTCACCTCTGTGGGCTCCCTCCCCACGCATGACCCTGCCTCCACCCTTGAGAAAAATACCAGAAAATTCCAGGGGAGGAACAGCGAACAAAATACCTGCCCAGGACTCTTCAAAACTGTCATGCTCATCAAAAGCAGAGAAAATCTGAAAAACCGTCACAGCCAAGAAGAGCGTAAGGAGACATGATGACTAAATGGGACAGAAAAAGGACATTAGGGGAAAACCAAGGGCATCTAGTAGACTACAGCTTATCAGTGTAGTGAATGTTGCATCAGCATTGGTTCATTAATTGTAACAATTGTATCACACTAATGCAAGATGTTAATAATAGGGGAGACTGGGTGGGGTTTGGGGGAATTCTGTCCTAGCTTCACAAATGTTCTGTAGATACAAACTATTCTAAAACAGTTTCTGTTTTTAACGACACAGTACTATTGACCATAGTCACCATGCCGGTATATTGCATCCCTATCTATGGGAATTTATTTATAACTGGAAATTTGTATCTTTTGACCCTCTTCACCCATTCGCCCATCCCTCAGTCCTCACCTCTGGCAACCACCTTCTCTGTTTCTATGATTTTTAAAAAATATTTATTTATTTATTTATTTGGCTGCACCGGGTCTTAGTTGTGGCATGTGGGATCTTTAGTTGTGGCAGGTGGGATCTTTAGTTGTGGCATGTGGGATCTTTAGTTGTGGCATGTGGGATCTTTAGTTGTGGCATGTGGGATCTTTAGTTGTGGCAGGTGGGATCTTTAGTTGTGGCATGTGGGATCTTTAGTTGCAGCGGGATCTAGTTCCCTGACCAGGAATCGAACCTGGGCCCCCTGCATTGGGAGCGCAGAGTTGTAACCATTGGACCACTAGGGAAGTCCCAGGTGTTTTTTTTTTTAATTCCACATGTAAGTGAGATCATATGGTATTTGTCTTTCTCTGTCTGACTTGTTTCACTTAGCATAATGCCCTCAAGGTCAATCCATGTTGTCACAAATGGCAAAATTTCATTCTTTTTTACGGCTGAGTAATATTCCATTGTATACATACACCATATTTTCTTTATCCATTCATCCATTCATGGGCACTTAGGGTGTTTCCATGTCTTGAATACTGTAAACAATGCTGAACGTGGGGGTGCAGATATCTTCTCAAATTAGTGTTTCCTTGTTTTTGGATGAATACCCAGAAATGGAATTGCTGGATCGTATGGTCGTTCTATTTTTTCTTTTTTGAGGAAGCTCCATACTGTTTCCTGTGGTGGCTGCACCAGTTTACATTCTCACAACTGTGCACGAGGGTCCCCTTTTCTCCACACCCTCCCCAGCACTTGTTATTTCTTGTCATTTTGATACTAGCCACTCTGACAGGTGTGAGGTGGTAACTCACTGTGGTCCTGATTTGCAGTTCCCTAACGATTAATGTTGTTGAGCACATTTTCATGTGCCTGTTGGCCATCTGTATGTCTTCTTCGGAAAAACATCTCTCCAGATTCCTTGCCTAGATTTTGTATCAAATTGTTTGTTGTTTTGCTATTGAGCTATATGAATTCTTTATATATTTTGGATATTAACCCCTTATTAGATATATGATTTTCAAATATTTTCTCCCATTCAGTACATTGCATTTTCATTTTGTTGATGGTTTCCTTTGTAGTGCAGAAGATTTTTTAGTATGATTATAGTCTCATTTGTTTATTTTTGCTTTTGTTGCCTTCGCTTTTGGTGTCAAATCCAAAAAACCATTGCCAAGACTGATGTCAAGGAGTTTACCACCTATGTTCTCTTCTAGGAGTTTGTGGTTTCAGGTCTTATGTTCAAGTCTTAAATCCATTTTGAGTTAATTTTTGTGTGTGGTGTAAGATAGTGGTCCAGTTTCATTCTTTGGCATGTAGCTGTCCAGTGTTCCCCAACACCATTAATTGAAGAGACTGTTCTTTCCCCATTGTATATTGGCTCCTTTGTCATAAATTAATTTTCCATATATACGTGGGTTTACTTCTGTGCTTTCTATTCTGTTCCATTGATCTATGTGTCTGTTTTTGTGCCAGTACCATACTGTTTTCATTACAGTAGCTCTGTAACATAGTTTGAAATCAGGGTGTGTGACACCTCTAGCTTTGTTCTTCTTTCTCAAGATTGCTTTGGCAATTCATGGTCTTTGTGGTTCCACATAAATTTTTGGATTGTTTTTTCTATTCCTGTGAAACCTGCCATTGGAATTTTGATAGGGGTTTCATCAAATCTGTAGATTGCCTTGGCTAATATGGTTATTTTAACAATATTAATTCTTTCAATCCATGAGCATATCTTTCTAAATATTTTAGAATATTTATTTGCAAGAGTTTATTAAAACTTTTTTTAGTGGAGGGAAGACAATACTGATGACGACAATGAAATCATTTTCCCCACGTTTGAGCACGTTGTCTTGATTGCCTTCTCCTCCTTTTACTTAGTTTAGCTTTGTTTTTTAACTAGGACACCAGATTAAAAATTATTATAAGGACCAGGAGTGACTGGGGTGCAGGCCTCTCTGTCACCTGACCACACCACCCAACTCCCATGTCACACCCCTGCTCCCCACTCTGCCCTGTCCATGTTGTTCCTGTAACGGAAGGGGAATGTGGGGATTCCAGGGGCCCATTCCAG